TTACATGTGGAGAGAGATTTAAAGGATTCATAAGGCAACTGCAATGTGTGCTTGGAGCTGAATATTTGCTAAGACACTGGAGATACATGTATTTATATTTATGAGACAATTAAGTCTCAACACTGACTAGACATCCGAGTCTGTTTTTCTTAATGCAGGGGCTTGCTACGTAGCCCAGGCTCACCCCGAACTTAGGATTCTCCAGCCTTAGCTTCTCATGGATTGCCTGTTTAGCTGTTGGATGATTTTAAGAACATGTAAGATGGTCGGAAGTAATGTTAAAAACATCAATTCTTATCTTATTCAAACTGAGAAACCCTGAAATATTTATGTGTGAATTGGTTCAATGGCTGGCGTGGATTTCAAAAACCAGACCTGGGCAGAGACGCCTGGAGGGAAGGATGGGGCCAGCCTGGCCAGGTTGTGGCACTGGGGGTGGGGGGTGGGCAGGCTCCTGGAGTTCATTCTTCTACCATCCTAATCTTCATCCCCTATAATATAAAGTTCACAGAGACAGGCAGCTACAGAAATTGTCTGCCTAAGCAAACGCTGACGCTGCCTTCTGAAGTCCCCAGAGCCACCATGCTGAGTTTGTTATCCCCAGTTCTGGTCTCCTATTAGTAGAAAGAGTGGGTCTTGTGTCAGGAAGTGAGCTTCTGGGCTGGTTGTATGGCTCGGTGGTAGAGCACTTACTTAGCATGCTTGAGGCCCTGGGTTCAAACCCTGGCATTGCGATGATGATGATGATGACAATGATGATGTAACTCTCCCTAGCTGGGTAATTCTAGCAAGCATGGGGAACTGGGAATCTGAGGCCAGCCTGAACTGCATGGTAAAACATGGTGGCAAAAATAAAGGAAGCCAAACAGCAGCAACAGACTTACACAGAAGGGAACACACTGAGACAGAAGCTCTGGCCCTAGGACGGGTAACTTTGCAGACTGGAAAATAATCATAATTAGATAGGTAGACTTGTCCAGTAAATAAGAAAATCTAATCTTAGAATGCAGGTTGGCTAGTGGGTACCGACCTATTATAGACTGGATCTACGACGTCACCCACAGGCTCATCTCGAATGCCAGGTCCCCAGCTTATGATCCATCTTGAAGGTCATGGGGCCTTAGTAGGGGTGGCTGGCTAGAGGAAGTGTGTCAGTGGTAATGGGATCTGGCAGAAATGCCCACCTCCAGTTCCAGTCCATGCCCCCAGATTCCTGTCTACCTCACATGAGGGGTCTTTGCCTCAAGCTCTGGCGGCAACGTTTCTCCCACCCCACCCATGATGGACTGAAAACAGGAGCCGAAACAGCTGCTTCCGTCATGTATTTAGTTCTGTTTCGAAAGGGATAATTTAAAATAGAACACTCTTTTTTTAAAAAAAGAAAGAAAACATGGCCCACCTTTACAAAAGCTGGTAATTCTGTAAGATTCTGTTTAATGCCCTAGCCAGGCCAAGATGGGCTAGCTGGCCCCAGAAGAGATTGGGATGTGTTTTCATAAATTGTATGACACAAACCTAGTCACCTGGCAAGATGGAACCTTAACTGAAGAATTGCTTCCACCAGATTTGCCCGTGGCCATTGTCTCTATGGCATTTTCTTACATGTTAATTGATGCTGGAGGGTCCAGCCCACTATGGGCAGTGTCACCCCTAGGCTGGTGGGCCATACAAAAAAAGTAGCTGAATAAGTCAGAGAGGGAGAGCGCCAGCAAGCAGCATCCTTCCACGGTTCCTGCCTTGAAACTCCTCCTGCTTAACTCCCCTCAGGGATGGATTATGACCTGTGAGTTTTAAGAAGATGAAATAAACCCTTTCCACCCTACATTGCTCCCCCCCACCCCCTGCCCCTGGCCCCATGGTGTTCATTACAGCAACAGAAAGCAACCTAGAGCAATATAATTGTACCCCATCAGTGTCAGACCCCAAGAACCACAAACATGAAAGAACTCCATTCCCTTTCTCAAGCTGTTTCTTGGGCTCGAACACCCGGAACTCACACCTCAAGTCTCAGCAAAGTTTATACCATGGTGTGCAATTTCCCGAGTTCTAGTCCCTCCGGTGTTCCTGCCGACAGGATAGCTTTCAAGTCTACAGCTCCTTCAGACAGAAACTGCCAGGGAGAAGACTTGGCCAGGGGCCCTCGGGGCCACCCACCACGCAACTGGGCACCTACGCTTTGTAAGCACTGGTTTCCAGCAGATAAATGTAATCAAGGTTTATGTGCTCGGAGAAGCCAACAGGACGGGGTTGTTTCACTTGAAGGATCAGAAGAAAATTGTAACTAATGTTGTGGAAAATTACTTTGATATTGCTTTCTTGGTACCGAATCACAATTAGGCTGCTGCTTGCGGTACAGGGAAGGGATAAATGAATAGTAACAAATCAACACAAACAGCTGTGTCAGGACCACTTCGCTCAGGGAAAGTAACGCAAGCATTACTTAAAGTTTTACGGCCGCATTTGGTGTGATTTACCTAGACCGTCAGGGTTGCCCATCGCGTAGCACACTGTGCCAGTGGCCCACCGGCATCTGCCAATAGGATGTGGAGACCCGCCCCTGCTCCTCACTGGCTCCGCCCACCGCGGGGGATGCCCATCATGTGATCCTGCAGGCTGCCAGTGTGAGGCTCAAATGCCTCGCTCCACCGTACCATGCCACTCATTCCCCGAAGTCCCAACCGTCCTGTGGCCCCCACCCACCTGTAATTCACACATCTGTGCACTTGAGCAGCTGTTTCAGAGCAATGCAAGCTGGAATGAGAGACAGGAATCCAGTGCCTGTGAAATTAAGGGTTCCGCTTTGCCAGCTGGCTGGCGGCATGGCAGGGCATACCCTAGGACCATCAGTAGATCACCTGTCCCAGGAATGGACTGCAGAGGGGCCCATTCCCTGTCCCAGATGGAGACCACACATATACTTATGCCTTTTCTCCCTTCCCCCAACACACAGTGCGGACATCAGAGACCCGGACCCTCTGCCAGTAAGTGCCACAACCACACACGAAGGCGTCCACCAGAGGTATGTAGTACCATTCATCCATGCAGTCTTCAAGCTCCCTGGATTCTTTTTGCACAGACTACAAATAGTCACAGGGACCAATTTCCTGCACTGTGATGGCATTGTCCTCCGGGACCCAGCTGTGCTGACTTAGTGTCACTCGCTATTCTAGGGCTCTTGAGAGGCTACAAAGTCCCCAGAGGAGCCAACTCAGTCACGCACACTTGCTTCCTCAGAAGCTGGGGAGCAGCCAGACCCATTTTTGACAGCCACCAGCTGTAGGGGTTGACCCGGGAATGCGTCAGCACAGTGGCTTGCCCGCTGTTTCCAGGGCCTGCAACTGAACCTACTTCTCACTCACTGTGATGAAAGGCATCAGCCTCCCCCGTGCAGGGCTTCTGGCAGCTGCTGCCAGCTCCAGGTAGGCACTGGCCTCTATGTGTGTTTCTTCCTTCCCTCCGTGGCCTTCAGTCTGGGCTCAAGGCCACTGCATGAGGGGTTCGAGGCTCCAGTTTGCAGAAGGAAAACAATGGAGTGGTGCAAAGGAAGGGGACCTGAGCTGGGGAGGGCCGTGGGAGCATGCTCTGCTGGCTAGAGGACAGGCATGCGTCCCTTCTGTGCAAGCCTGCAGGTAGGAGTGTCACGGGAAGCCATCCGCCTTAACCTCTGACTTCTACATCTCTTTCATCCTGTCCCTGAGGAGAAAGCGCATCTCCTCTGGGGGTCTCCACAATGGACCTCTGCTAGTGCCTTGGCCTGGAAGCCCAGGTTTCCTTTTCCTTCAAAGCAGATTAACCTCTGGCCTCAGCCCCATGCCCGTGACTACCAGCTCGGTAGTCCTATCTAACAGCAGTGGCCTGGAGAGCTCCTCTTTCCGAATTCCGGCACTCCATCTGCCCCGAGCTTTCCAAACGTTCCACACTTGCCTCTCACTGTCTGTACCCACTGTCCTCAGCAGACACTGAGCATTCTAATGGGTGACAAGGCACAGAGAGAATGGGGGAGGGGGAGGGGTGGGACTCTGCCTCACAAAGCCAGCATGTGCCCGAGTTAGTGTCTGTCCCAAGCCAGAGGAGCAAGGTTCAAAGGGTCCCCCAGGGCTAGATAGGGAAACGGAGTCACACTCTGGATGTGTAAGTTCAAGAAGATGATGAAGGCTGGGGAGGCGGGTGGCTCAGCAGTATAGGTGTTGTCCCCAAGCCTGAGTTCAGTCCCCAAAAGCCACATGGTGGGAGTGAGACACAACCCCTGAAGGTTGTTCTCAGACCTTCACAGGCATGCCCATCACCCAGTAAATAAGCAAATTAATTCATTGATGTTACAAAATTACTTTTTTTTGAGATCAAATCTCATTGTGTAGCCCTAGCTGGCCTGGAACTTGCTATGTAGACCAGACTGGCCTCAAACTCACAGAGATCAGCCTGCCTCTGCCTCTAAAATTCTGGGATCAAAGGTGTGCTTCAACACATCCTGCCATAACAAAAAATTTCAAGCTGGACCTGGTGGTGCAGGACCACAGCCTACATACTCAGGAGGATAAGGTAGGTTCACGAGTTCGAGGCCAGACCTTGTCTGAAAATAATAGTAATACAACCTGATCAGAGGGCAAGACACTGGGTTCAATTCCCTGTGACAGTTTTGCAAAAGAGAAAGATGTTTATCCCCTGATGTCCCCAGCAATGTGGAAGATGCCCCAAGAGCCGGCACAATTTTATGTGAATCTGAAATTCACTGAAGACAGCAAACGGGCTGTCTAGATGGGCAACATCTCCTCGGGGGTTGGGGGAGGGCAGGGGGCTGATCAGCTGCTATGGAAGCCATAACCTTGAAACTAGTGGTCAGCCTTCAGCTAGACACCCCCACACGGACACCAACACCTGTTAGGAGGAAGCCAGGGTCCCTTCTCCGTTTATTAGGGCTATTGTCCCCCAGGGCCAACATACCAGGCCCACATGAAAGTCTGCAGTGTCCTGGCAATAGGAACCAGCAACCTCGGGCTCACCTGGAACCTGCTCGGGGCTGAGCTCTACAGGGTCCTGTAGGCTGATGAAGAGGAGGAGGCCCGCAGCTCCAAACAGCAGGATGGATGAGAACATGCAGGCTAGCCGCATTGTTCCAAGTCGTGGGGTCATCTGGGGCACGCTCCTGGGTCACCTCTCGGGTGTAAAAGGCACGTTCTTCCCTCATTATCCACACCAGACATCCATCGGGCTGAGCTCTATGAGACGGAAGGGAAGAAGTTTCAGTTGCAGGATATCCGGGCGGGTTAAGGCCCCTATCACTGCAACAGGGCAACCTCTGGATTCCCCTAACCCGCCCTGGAGCTCTCTCTCTATCATCTTCCTCCCTTTGGACAGAGACTCATCATGCAGCCCAGAGTGGCCACAAACACATGATCCCCCACCTGAGCCTCCCCAGTGTTGGGATTACAGACATGCCTGCCCACTTACAGCTTCTGCAGCCCACAGAGGCTGGGTGGAGCCCTGTGCTACGGGCACCTCTAGCTACCCTAAAAGGCTCTCCCTGCCTGCATCTGCCATAAAGCCACAGAGAGACGCAATCTCTGGTTGCTGCCTGGGGACATCGAAGGGTGGCGAGAATCTTGATAGTGACAGGTGGTAGGTAACCAGTGCCCTGCCCAGCTCTGTGAGCCCCCCAGAAAACACCATGCTCCCTTCAGAGACTCACAGCCCTCCATCCCTGCCCGCCCTTCTGGCCTCTGCAGATCCAGAGCATGAACACGTGATGTGTTCATCCTGGCTCTACCAGAAGAACAGAAGCAATGACCTCCACACTGAGTACAAATAAATGACCCTCAACCGGACCAGGTTGTGATCGAGATAGGCTCGCCCCAGGGCTGGAGAGATGGCTCAGTGACTAAGAACATTGGCTGCTTTTCCAGAGGGCCTGGGTTCAGTTCCTAGCATCCACATGGCAGCTCGCAGTCATCTGTTCCAGAGGTTATGACTCCTTCTTCTGGAATCTATGGGCATAGCACACACATGATGCATAAAAGCACACCCATAAAATAATAATTTTTAAATTTTCTTTGCGGGAGCGGGGGGGGGGGCTGGGACAAGTTTCTCTGTGTAGCCCTGGCTGTCCTGGGACTTTCTCGGTAGATCAAGCTGGCCTTGAATTCAGAGATCCACCTACCATTGCCTTCTGAGTGTTGGGATTAAAGGCGCGTGTTACCACAACCTGGTATAATCTTTTGTTGTTGTTGTTTGCTTTTACAGGCAGGCACACCTCACTATGGTTTGAGCCTGAAATGTTCCCAACAGATCCATATCTTTGAACACCTAGTGTCCAACTGCTGGTGCTATTTTGAGAGATTGTAGGGCCTAAGCCAGGCCTGTGTGGGGGCCGGGAAAAGGTGAGAGGGCAGAGGAAGTCCCCAAGGCAGCTGCTGTGGGCCTCCGCCATACACAATATTCTACACCCAGCCGCACGATGGCAGGGACTCATATCCCACCATGTACTTGGACAAATGGTCTCAGGGCTTTTACCACTTTCCCCATTACTGTGACAAAATGCTTCACAGAAGCAAACTCAAGAGAGGAGAGCTTGGGCTGCAGAGATGGCTCAGTGGTTAATAGCACTGGCTGCTTTCAGACAACCTGGGTTTGATTCCCATAACCCACACCGCTGCTCACAACCATCTCTAACTCCAGTTCCAAGGGATCCAGTGCCCTCTTCTGGCCTCCATAGGTACTGCATGCACAGGGTGCACAGACACAATTAAAAAGAAAAGAACAGAGGGCATAGGGAAAAGTTTTATTTTGGCTCTTTATTTTATTTCAGAGGGTTGGATCGAGCATTGTAGGGAAGGTATGGTAGACCTTCCCTACAGGTCCACTAGTGTATAGCAGGATGCTGGCCTCACACGCTGGCCGGGCCAGGAAGCCGTGGAACTGAGGGTAAATAGGGCTGGATTATATTAAAGGTTTGTCTATAAGCCAAAAAAATACCCCTATTTCCACCTAAGGAACATGCAAAAATCTAGCACGGGGCAGTGTCAAAGGAAGCTGGTGCTACTCAAAGCCACAGGGCCCGGCCGGCGCTTGCCGTGGTCCAGCCTACAGACCTTTAAGCAGAAAGGGAAGCTTATAAAGACTGTTGCTGCCCTTTTCTGTGCCCAGAAAAATTTCCCAGGGCCTAGATTGATTCTCAGAAAAGATTAGGAACTAAGAAGTATAAATTCCAGGCTTGGGTTTCCTCTCTGCAGTGTCTGTAATTATTTTTTCACTCAGTTAACTTTAATTAACCTGCCGCAGGCCTCTACGCGCCTGGTGCTGGGCTCCCTGGACTTGCAGAGCAGGGTGGTTCCCACGACCTCCCTGCTTTTATGTTTGGGGAGCAGCTATGAGAGGGGCTCAGTTGACCGGTAGAGCCTGACCTGGGTTTTTTGAGCAGGCCATGACCTCTGTGCCACAACCCTTAAAAAAAGACTGTTGCTGCCACCTGGCATCGGTGAGGGGTGGGAGAGGGAATCTGGCCTCGCTCATAGTGTGCCCAGACCGAGAACCACAGATTCCCAAACCTCAGGCCTGAGTACCGCCCGGGCTCCCTGCAGGAGGACTGTCCGGCATGTCTAATCATTGCCTTACAAAGCCATGGATGCATCATCCCTTTCTCCAAGCGTGGCCTGCAGAGTCCGGCCCGCTGCTGTCAGCCTCTGGATGCTGGGCGAGCATGAGTGGACAAGAAGGGGGTGGGGCTATTCTCTCACACACGCAGAAACTGCTGCGCCTGTGTCTTCATCTCTGTATCCTCAGGCGCTGGCCCGCCACGAGCAGTTGTCATGACCCCTGAAGAAACCCATAGAGAGGAGATGGGTGGGTAGAAATACCACTCTGCAGCGGCAAGGCAGAGAATGGACTACTGGCGGGGAAGCAGGGGAGGCTTTGATGCTTTTCTAAGCAAGCTGACACCCTCGCCCACGGGTAGACTGGAGCGGGTCCCCTCCTGATGCTTACATGCCCTCACCTATGTCGTCAAATCATGGCTCACTGTCTATGATGTTAGCATGATTCCTACAGCCTCATCAGCCTCCAGAGAAAGGGGGTCGATCTGACCAAAAGTGGGTGGTCTCTGGCGGGAAGATAACTCTTCCGGAGGATGAGGCCCCCACAGGCTCAAGTCTCAGGGCTTGCTTCCCTGGCGGTGGGATGTTGTAGACACATTAGAAGACGGGACCTAGCTCCTAGTGAGGAACTGGGGGTGGGCCCTTAGGAATACCTTGTCCCCGGCTGCCACCTCCTCTTCTCTTCCTCTCCCCTCCTGTTTGTCACAAGGTCAAGACCGCCCTCCACCACATACTCTCATTGCATGGTGCTCTACCTAAGAACACAGTACCAAGCCACTACGGACCGAACTCTCCAAAACCCGGAGCAGAAACAAAGTCAGGTACTGTCAAGTGACAATAACAACGACCTAACTCATACAGAGGAAGGAGAGAAGAAAGTACAAGCTACACCCAGCATGCAGAGATGCCTGGGAAGGTGGGTTACAATGTCCCACGGGGTCACCCCAAGGCTATTTGATAGACAAAGAAAGGTAATAGAATGCCCTGTGATTACCACCTTGCTCGTTTCCAGCCGGGCACTATAGATGTGACTACAGAGAGCTGCCCATCAGTCACACGGCCACCATTAGAGCCATTGCAGATTTCTGTCAACAACTAAGCGGCTTCTGCAGTTGTGCCCTGAATCTGTTCACACCAGATCCATTCATGGAGACAGGATGGGGCTGCTCGTGGGCCTAGGACCCAGGAGAGGAGGCAGGAAGCTCAGCTGTACAACATTTGCCATTTCACAGACCCTGGAGAGCACACAAGCACCTGCCGACATCACGTGGCTTCCCGCCCAGCTCCTAAGCCCTGTCCCCAGCCTTCCCTCCTGGGACCTTATTCTCCATGCTTGTTCTCACTAGGGACTATATGGTCAGCCAACTCCTGGCTCCATGCAAACGAGAATCAAAAAGCCAGCTGCCTAGCCTCCCGAGGAAACTGCTTGCTATCTGGCTGGATCCGTAATGTCCTAGGAGGGGACCAACATCCTGGAATCTGCAATGTTCCTCTTCCCACAGAGACCCAAGGGTGCATGCTCCAGAGGACATGTGTCTCTGACCCCTCCTCTGTATCCCCCCCACCCCAGGGTTCTTTAGTTAGTCACATCGTATTTTCAAGACTACAGGGAGATGCTGGTCCAAAGGTCATTTCTCTCCCTCTTCTTCAAACCCAGCTGTTGCCTTGGGCCTCAATATAACAACTGTCACAGGACATGGCCTGGCTGCCCCAGGCCGTGAAAATACATTTGCAAGACCTCAGCTCCCACCTGGGACTGCCTTGGCCTCAGCTCATATGTCACACTCTGCTCTGGTGACAAGGGGAAGTGATCCTCATGTCCCCGCAACCCTTTCTAAAACCAACAGACAGTAAGGAAAGTCAGATCATTGGCAATGAAGAGAGGGTTGCAGGGGGTTGGTTAAGGCATGAGAAACACACAGCCTGGTTGAGTATCCTGCCCTGCTCAAAACTGCAAAGCCTTCTAGTGGTTTCTTCCCCCAAGGCCTGAATGGCGTCACTAATTCTTACTTTAAGAAAGAAAAGATCCAATTAATGTTACACCTCCTGGGACACAGGGCAAGGCTGACAATCCCTCCCATCTCCTTCTTTATTTGATTCAAAAATTTGAAATTGACTTCAGGGGCTAAGCAAGGACTTGAGAATTCAGCCAAAACACACGCACCTCCAGTGGCGACAGCTGGACACATGGATGACTCCAAGGACACGCCTGGCTGTGGCTGCTCCGGAGCCTGGATGTTGCTCTCAGTCATTCAGAAACCCCTCTGGCTGTGGGGACCCACCCACACCTCATGACAGACAGCTTGGGTACACCCACGTGATCAGTGGGTCCCAGGCCCGGGAAAGTTCTCTGTCCCGGTGTGTCCTTCTCATACGGGCAGGAGCGAACAATGCGTCCCTCCCAGCTGAGGGCTACAGGAGATGCTGTTCGTCGGGAGACGGGCTGCTATGGCAACTTGAGGAGAATGGAGCCAGGCACTGCCGTCACCTTGAATCCGGCACCGTGCCTTCTGCTGCAGGGGCAGCGGGGGCCTGGCACCCGGCTCTTCCCACTACTGCAGCTGGGCACGGGTAGCTGGCCCTGGGTCCCCCTCCTTGGCTGCCTGGCCTTGGGTACTCATCAGCTCCTC